CCCCCCCCACAGCAACAACACGAAGCGCTGTTAACAGATGTTGCAGCACCACAAGTTTTTCAGCCAGCCTGTGTCGCAGTTACTACTGCTGCTGTGGTTGCTTTTGTTGGTAGATTGCTAATGATCCCTTTACTCTAACTCACTCCATCTTAATAGTTCGTTTCATTTCCTTTCCTGCTTCGTACGCATTGCCGCTAATTATTTCCAGCATGAAGATGGCGCAGCGCATATTCGCATCGACACAGCAGTCAATCCCCATAGGAAGAATACTCAACGCCGTGTCTGTGCATGCGCCACCTTTTTTATGCGTCTCATCTACATTTCTGCTGTTGCGTTGCTGTCGTAGTTTGTCCCCTCCATATATATCTATATATACATATATAGATATAGATAGATAGATAGATATATGTATATCAATACTCGAAGAAGCGCCGAGCAGCAGTGGCAAAAACACAACCCCTATTGGTTCCTCGGGCATTTGAGATTTTCTCTCTTCTTCCTCCGGTCATCGTCCTTCGGTGTAGCGGACACTACCGAAAGCACTACATACATGTATATATGTATGTATACGCATATGTATATGTGTACCTGAGTAGCCAGGTCAGCCCGCACATTTCCTCTAGCATATTCACTGTGTGGAGTGAATAGGAGCATGTCATTGTATGCACATGCAGTGCGGCCGAGCGCAGCACGAGGCCAAGGAAGAAGGTGCTCCTCTCTCCTCCCACAGCCCGTGAACACACACACACACACAGGCACACACACAAAAGAAAACAAAATACATAACCCGTAGAAGTTGACAAACGTATTCATTGGCATCCATCAACAGTGCGATGTATTCCACACAAATTGTGTGTGTGTGTGTGTGTGTGTGTGTGTGTGAAATATATGTGAATGATTTGAATGCTGCTATATGATTGCAGTCTTTTTTTCGTTTTTTTGCTTGCTGTTGCACGCGTCAGCGCATGTCCACGTGTGCCGATGTGAGAAACTCGTATTGGCGTTACATCTCGCTTGAACGCCATAGAGCGAGGAAAACAGATACAACGCCCAGAACACCTCTTCGTCCCCTTTGCCCCATGACGACCAACTAATCGAATACCCCAACACACACGCATATATATAGATATATATAGATAGATATAGATATAGATAGATATCTACGGCGGTATTTCCCGCGTATACTCTTTCCTTCCTCATTTCACGCCTTATCACTCTCTTGTTTGCTTCTCTCTTTTCCACTATTCCCCACAATTCCCATGTGTGCGCCTGCAGGAGGCGTGGTGACGCAGCAATGCGCACAGCCACACCAAGTGACTGCCAAAGCTGTGCTCTTCCGCATTGAAGCGCGTCATTTGCACTCGCCTCCCTCTCAAGCCCCATTCCCCCTCCCCTCCCTAATGAGTAACTTCAGCTATTCCCTCTTTCTCTGCTAATGACACATCCCCGGCGTGCATCACCCCTTATGATTCCCATTGCTACTCCACACACTGTTCCCCTTTACAAACATATAGTTATATAGTGCCTTACATTACCTTGCTTTCTCTGCGGGCTTCTACACCATTACCACCAAACACTTTACCTGGCTGACTCAAACTCTCATTACCTTCTGCCTTTTTTTTTTTCTTCTTTCCCTTCATTCCCCTCATCCTATAGCAGCGCACCTCTCATGGCACCAAGCATACGTCGTAGCGAAGGTGTAACGCCTCAAACAAAACGGTGTCACACAACTTTTGCCTGTGATCAAAAATACATGAAGAAATGAGGCGCAGCGACCAGCACACACACACACACACACAGACACACGCATATGCATACATATGTGTACATGTATTCACGGCAGCCACAGAGCATCCACGCAGATCAATGCTAGTGCGTAGAGAGACACAACACAACAAGAAAAAAAAACACCCCCCACGAAGAGCGCACCGGTAACCGTAAAGCACGGAACAGTTGGTCAAAAAGCGGGGGCCAGATCACAAGACAAGAAAAAAAACACACACCCGTGTTCCTACAAAAGAAAACAAGATTGCATGGCACACACCATCTCGTCCGTGTCATAATGAACTTCTTTGTGTTGTTTCGTTGGCATCCTGCGGCCAATCGTTGCACACAACACCAATACTCACGCCCCGCACGCCGCAGCTGAGAAGCAGCGCACCACGTGGTGCGGCGGCAGCAAGGCCCAGAAGATTTCCTCCGCCGAAGCAGCATCCACGTCGAACGCCTCGAAGAATGCCATTGAAAAGGCATCATTGTCGAGCTGTGGGAAAAGTGTGGAGCGCAGACGATGCACACCGCCGTCACGTAGTGTCTGCTCCAACGCCGGAAGCGTGATGCCCAGTACCTCCTTTGCACGTCGGGAGGCTAGCACGTACACGCAGCGCGTCACCACTGGGTGCGTCGTCTCCATCGCGAGCCCAACAGTGAGAAGCACGTCGAGTATATACGACTGAAACTGCACATTGCGTTGATACATCTGTTCGTGATGCTTAGGCAATATTCGTGGTGTGTCGTCCTGATCCTCCAAAGGCAGAACACCCATCGCAGCGCTCACAACAGCGACTTCCTGGTCGTCTTCTCCGTTCGAGCCAATCACATTCGAGAAATCAAAGGCCTGGAGCAGTGGATTAAATACACAGCTTGTCTCCTCCTTTGGGGATGCATCTCCATCCATCATCATCGCTTCAGTGGGTTCACCTCTGTCGTCCATTGCAACAGATGGGGAAATGATGCACATTGCATCAGCTGCAGCACCAGCAGAAGAGGCGAAAGGTAGCTGCTTGTGTAGAAACATAGCTGGTATCGCATTGCAGCTCGTCACGATGTTGTGAATGGCATCCAGCGCCTCCTCCGTGCTCCCTTTGCAAACATAAAGAAGGGCGAGTAGCAGGTGCACGAGGAGATGGAGTTTTGTGGCGCGCTGCAACAACTCCATCTCCTCTATCCCCACAACTGATGACTGCAGCTCCTCGAGACGAAACACATTCTCATTCAGGACACTTTGAAGTGTGTGAAGAGTGCCAATGGCGTCATAAAAATGTTCACCCGTCGCGAGATACTGCCGAATACAGCGCATCGCTACAAGCACCAGCGCCTGCCCACGCTCCACCACGTGGCATTGCGAAGATAGCGGCGGCGTAGGAGGAGGTGGTGGTGGGGAAGTCAGTGGTGCACTGGAATCAAGCGAAAGAGTCGCAAGTGGTAACATAAATGGCGGCGAACTGTGACCATCAGGTGAGCCTGTGGCATCACTGTATCCATCGCGGCTGCAGTTACCAGTTTGGCATGCGAAGAATGCCTCCCTTTCGTTTTGCAGGAAGAGTGTTGGGGTGGCAACCCTCTCGTTGACAAGAGTTCCGATGCCCTTCGTTAACGAACCGCGCATGAGTGGTGTGATACCGGCGGACTCTTCATCGGAGTTGGAGCCGGAGTGCGAGCGGGATACAGCCGGTGCCGGGGCCTGCTGCGACGACGTGGTGTCGTCGTATTGCTGCTTGTGGTGCCGCGGCAACGGAAGCTGACGACCGTCAGTTCCGTTAATATAGTTCTTGTTGTGGTTGTTGTTGCTAAAACTCGGTGTATGTGAGGAGTTGGGCATGTGGACCTGGGCATTCATCATCCAGCCCTCCTTCTTCTTGAGGTTGTGGTAACTGTCAACAGCCTCCTTCAGTGTGCGGTGCGCAAAGTTGCCGGAGCCGAAGATGCACGCCATGTTTGTCGCTGGGTCCGCGTCGTGAAACACACGATCGACAATTGCCTGCTTGGCCGCATTGCATTTAAGTCGAAGCGGTGGTTTCCCCGCGCCGTTTGGCAGCTCCATGCCACTTCGCCGCATCATCTCATCTGCACCCCGGCGATCGGCGAACTCGACGAAGCCATAGATCCAGTTTTGTGTATTAGTAGAGTTGCCACAGATACGTACGCGCAGGTACTCTCCACACTCGGCGCAGATGGAGGCCAACTCTCCTTGCTTCATACCAGTGGGGAGGAAGCGTAGGTGGACAGTGCGGCTAAGCAGGTCAGTGTCAGCTGCTTCCTCTTCCACAAGCCGCTGCCTCTCCTCCTTCGAGAGCGACTTGAACTCTTGGTGCAGCCGCTGAGCGGGATTTGGCCCAGTGTTCGGCCCCCGATACGTGTACGGTTTACGCGTGGCCGCGGCTGAGGCCACTGGCATCGACTCATCCGTCACAGTGAAAGGCGGGAGCGGTGGGGTGCCGCAGGAAACGACATACGGTGCGTGCTTCTTCGTCAATGGGACCGCCGCCTGGGCAGCGCTCTTCATTTCTGCGGTAGGAGGTGAGTGCCTTGACCTTCTACCCATCAATAGTTCTTCAGTACTGTTTGCTGTTGATAATATGTGACACAACACTCTATAGCGGTTGCTGCTGCTTCTACTGCTGCTGCTGCTGCTGCTGCTGCTGTGGCTTTTGTTGTACTTATAATGGGTCTTTCACTTCTCAACTGTTTGTGTCTGTGAGGGCGTGTATGTGTGNATAGTTCTTCAGTACTGTTTGCTGTTGATAATATGTGACACAACACTCTATAGCGGTTGCTGCTGCTTCTACTGCTGCTGCTGCTGCTGTGGCTTTTGTTGTACTTATAATGGGTCTTTCACTTCTCAACTGTTTGTGTCTGTGAGGGCGTGTATGTGTGCACGATTGTTTGCTTGTTTGTATGTATGCTTGTGTGTGTGTGCTTTTTTTCTCTTTGGTGTGGTGTAGTGTGGTATGTGTGCTACCTCCCTTGTTTTACGCTTCGTGTGTGATGCCGTAGTCGATCTCGCGTCTGCCGTCCTGCGCACGAAGCCGGACTTCAAAACACCGTTCCACGAGACCCGACACGCCGAGGGAAACAAAACAGGGACTCAGCCTTGCGGAAAAAAAACATGTAGAAACAACATCAACAACACAGGAGATAGATAGAGAGAGAGAGAGATAGCAGAAGTAGAAAGTTCAGCGCTTCAAGGCGGCATTGTGTCACACAATCCAGCTCGGAGAGAGCAGCCTGGCACAAGGCGCCGATGAAGTGTTTCTACTCGGAAGAAAGAGAAGA